ACAGCTGTGGGAATAGGACAATCTCGAAGATATACAACTAATTCACCAGTATCTCTTGGTATTTTGAATTTTTTTCTGATTTTTAGACAAAAAATCAAAAAATATTCGCAATGAGTACTAATACCTTTTTCGGTACTTAATACTCTTCAAGGGAAGCTACATTTTTAAGCTTTATCCACACAGTAGCTTTACTCACACTCGAATTATTGAAAAATTCACAAAATTGTCTCCACGTCTGATGTTGACAACCTCCGTTTATTGATTCTTTGATTTGAAAGAATTGTCTAAGAAGTGAAAATAAACTGGTATTCTAACACAATACTTTCAAGTACGCCATGATAGGCCGCTGATAGTATTCAGCAATTCTGATGAAAGGCCACGCATGTCACTAATTTTCGAGTCACGAGTGAAATTCAATTTTTTGATACCTGGAAGAGTATTTTGTAAAATAACTTCGAAAAGTATTTGCTTTCGAAAGTTTGAGTGAAAGTAAAATGTCTTCTCGAGCCTTGTCTTGTTATAGCTAGAAGACCGTTACAAATCAGTGCCCAGAAGATTCATTTCGCTATCAGCTTGTCTATTTGATTTCGACTTTGAAGGTTTTAATTCCGAAACAAGAGAGGTCTCCCTTCCCGAAAACTAGTTAGAAAGCAGTAGCGAATTTGGGAGCAACACGCTTAACAAACCATTACAAAATCAAAACACCTCTAGAGCTGGAAAAAAAGATATTGGATCTTGTATACATTGGCTATTGAATGTGAGGAAAAATTACGTCGTGATGCAAGCAGAGAGGGTTTTTTTGGTGAGATTAAACTAAAAATTATATCACATAAAGAAGTAAGTGTGAATACTCTGACGTTTGCGAGAATTTCTGGTGAGTCATTACTATTGTGTTTCTCCAGAAAGCAGAATTAGCCCTTCAGACAAAGTTTTGAAGTCTCAAATCTTCCATCCTTTTTTGGTCATCCTTTTCACTAGATACTCTCTACCATTTTTCATGAACATCACCAATTAAACCTCCTCACTAAAAACTTTCAGAGAAGTTTTTTAACGCTCCCGTTTTTTGAAAGTCTCCTGGCCACAGATACTTCCAAAATCTGCTTTAGGCTATGCTGCCGACTGAATAAGTATGGAGCTAAAGTGAGGAAATGCATTCGATCCTACTACTCCGACTTTTCTCGGCTTCATTTGCCCATCCTAAGGGGTGAATGTCATTTCCTGTTGAGCAATTTGTTGGCACATTTTCAAATCAGCGTACTGTGGCTGACGCTTGAGACTCTACGATAGATTTTTGATCTTTCAAGAAATTACAAATGAACTTTTGAAAATTTTATGGAAAAAAAGTTTTTAAAATAGTAACTCACAATATTCAGACCACCTGTTGAAAAAAATTTGAAAAAAAGGAGACTGAGATGGTGCAGGGTCAAATGGCGCAAACATCACACGCGCATGGTTCATGGTTCGAATCCTGGATCGATACCCGCCCAAACCGCTCAAACTTTCCAACCCTTCAGTGTCGATTGATTGGTACCAGACTCGTCTGGGGATCAGAAGCACTAACTGACTGGAACATCGGCTCAAGTATTTATGTAGCCCGCGCACTCATTCAACCCGAAATTACGATTCTGATGGAGTTCGAATGCTGAGCGCATCCCAAATATAGGATTGGTTAATGCCAAAGACCTATTGCTTCATTCAAACATCCGGTATGGTCTTTTGTAAGGGAAGTTTTGCGTACGAATGATAATACTGGAATTCCTACAAGCATGAAAGGGTATGCTCTTTAACTAAAAAGAGTTACGAGCCGGAGAGGCTACTGTGCCCTACTGATGCTGTGCAATGTAGGAGCTTCTACTGAGATTTTCTGGTCTCACCTGTCTTGTTCTCGTTTAGGTCCTCAAATCATTCGAGATCCTGATTTGCTCTTTGGATGTATTGGATTAATACTGACGCTTGAGAAGGTTCTGGAAGCCAACCCTTTATGACTGTTCTCAGCATATATTAACTGTTGAATAATTCAATTCTGTGTAATCCCAATGTTTCAGCTCACCACCACCTGCCGCTAATGTCCTCAAGTGCTATGGTACAGACAAGCCGCCAAGCTCTCATCTGATGCGCATCGTCATCACTTCAAAGCCAAGCGACGTCTTCATCAAGAGGGCTCGTCAATCTGTTCCTAAAGAGGAGATGATCTTGTCATTGTTCGGCCCATCGCATTTGCATATGAAGGCCATGGCGACACCATCACCACCACAGCAGTAATGGCTATTTGAATCTATTACCACGTTTCTTTTTTTTTTGAGCCAGACCAGACCTTTCTTGGCTAATTTATGCTGAATTCCTGAAAAAACAGTAAATGCCCTTTTAGTTGAATTTAATGCCCATGTTCGGTGAAAGACAAAGAACATTCATCACATGGGACTCTACCGAAAGCCCTTTTCAAACCAGCCTGGCAGATGTTCTGTAACCTGCTGTTTCGAGCTATACTAGCGAAAATGGCGATATAAGCCAGAGCTAGTTTTTCGGATTCATTGGCCAGCTTGTTCTGGGTCTTGAGTTTCCGATCTTTCGAGACCACGATTTGTTAGCTAGATGGATTGGAACAGTAGGACGTTTGCATGACGCGTTGTTTTGGGTGCTGGTACTGGGCTCTGTTCTATTCTTTGTCCAATCCAGTGCATTTCTTCTCCCGAATTTTGTCAGAGCGAAACAAAGTTTACAATCATCATGCCTCATTATCGCCCTGTTACCGGGTTTCCCAGCACTGACTTTGCAAAAAGGTGGCCCATCTTTCCGTCTAAAGCTTTATGCATTTTAAATAGAAAGTGTGTCTAGATGCAATTGATTGATTGAGATAAATTATTGATTCATAGATTCAATTGAAATGCCTCTGTTTCTGAGCATCTCAAATAGAGAGTGGATACTAGGTGCAACCAATCAGGAGCAGTCAGTTATGGCGATTTCGTGTACGTAGCGTAGCGCTGGTTTAACATCAACTTCCACAGTGTGAAGGAGAATCGTGTCTGAAGATGAGGACGTGTTCGTCATCATCAGCAGGACGAATTGACGTCACGAGAAAGTCGAAATGACATAAGATGAGGCAGCTAATTAATTCTAGGAGGACATAAATATATACTTATTAGGTTTTTCGAGTCAAGGCGCCCCCGCTTTCAGGGATCCGCCCTGCACTCAACTCCCATTCAAAACTGAGGTGGCGGTTTGAATATGTTTGAGGCCTATACAATGACTTCGGGTGACCAGCCAATTTGTAAGTCAGCGCTTATATTCTTTTCATTGGATCTGGAATCCTAAGGTATGAAAGGCCGAGCTGATGATTGGATCTATGGACCTGCCTGTCATTGTGCGTCACTTGGCACTACACCACTTCTGTCCAGCAACAAATTTTCACATTTACCCGAAACTAGATGCTTTACTGTGAGGAATAGAAATTTCATCTGTTGAAATAGCATTTTCTGAATCATGAATTTAGAATCAAATTCAAATTCACAGCTTTATCACAGTTCTATATGTTTAAACTATAAAAAAAAATTCCAAATTCGGTTATATATTGATGGCTATTAATGGTCCGATTGTAGTACAGCAGAGTACAGTCGTGTAGTGCTTTTTCTGCGCATGATAAAGCTGTTTAATAGGAGCGATGTGCCGATGCCGACATCATGGATGGCCCCATCAATCGTGGGAAAGAAAGGGCCACTACATAGTACTTCTTGCATTGATGATCCGATTTATATGCTCTTCTTATATGTTATATGACAGTTCCGTTCTAGAGCTACCGTCAAAACAACATTTTCCCATTCAGAAAGAACTGTGCCGATGTTCGAGAATTCTGCACAGTCCTTACTTAAACACAGTCTTCACCTTTTCGAAGTTCTTGGGAGCACTGACTGGCCTTTGGCAGTTGGACGAGATAGGGATGAATTTGGCTGTTTCTGCTAATCAGAATTGGAGAATCCTCAGATGTTGTGAAAGCGAATGAGTGGCAGAACTTCCGTCTGCAGACTTTTCTCAAGTCACTCCCAAACCTGGTATTTAGGAAAGCAAGATATTCCCCAAACATCATAATACTACCTCATCATGTTATTGATTAGAGGAATCTTGTGGTTTGATAAAGCAGTGTTGCAGGCTTGACACACGACTTGACCAAGAACTGGCCTAACTAAGTTTAAGATTCGGCGTTGATCAATCCCGCACTAAGATGCGCCCAGCATTCAACTTGTACTCCAAATCGATGTGACGATGGCATAGCCTAAACCTTGATTTTTGGTGGTCATCCCAGATGAGTAGGCTACCAAGTAGCCGACTCGAAGGCACGAGAAGCCTAGGTTGGCTTGGGTCAATACTCATCCGAAGATCGATCCCTCTACCATGAGCCTGTCGATGCGCCAATAAGCCACTGAACCACCTCCTCCTAAAATTTGATGTGAAAAAAATATTTATAGAACTCACGAAAGTTGATGATGGACAAAGAATTCATTTCAGAAAGACTCATACACTCTTGAGATTTATTCGTAGAGTTATGTAACTTGATAATCACATTCTATGACTCTTCGAGTACCTGGAAATGAGCTCAGACAAGTTCAGGTGATTCAGTATCTTCAGTGCTGGCAATGATTGAGCCCCAGCACCTTATCCCATCTGTCTGAAGTTAGAAGTAGATTGGTTAGCTTTCAAAACTTACCCCAGTCTAGGTGCCTATGATAATACCTGGACGACTTCAATAGGTTTGCATGAACCGGCCCAATTGGAAGGATTCGATCCAGTGAGTGATGCACGTTGCAAGCAAGACATCTAACCAATAAACCGTCTTCATTCTCGTTGAATTTATGTTTCGATAAAAATTTGACGATATTTTTATTAGTTTCTTTATTCTCTAAGAATCAAGTCTCTCCGACGACATTAACCAGTGCTCTTTTTCACAACCTAAGGAATTAGTCACAGCCTTCAATTCGAACCCAATTTAATCACATTTCGTTCATAAATCATTCTGTGACCACTTTTTGCTAGCCGCTAAACCATTAGCTCGTTACCCATCCACACCACATACGTGTGATTAAGCGGAACCAGTTGTTCTGGGACAGTTTTGTTACAGTTATACTTGCGGTTAGTTAGCGCCAGTTGCAATCGCCCAGCCCAGCCACCCAACAACCTAGTGCGGTTGCCGTTTTCCGGTTGATTTTTGTCGCAATAATTGTTAATTATCGTCACAGATGTTCTTAGTAGCGCATCCTCTATTGTTATCGACCGCATGTCATCCAATTTTACCCGGTTGAGACGTCCAAAACATACCCTTGACTGGGTGAACACAGTGTCCAAAAAGAATGGCCCTATTTGGCAGTTGTTCGGTTTACATAATCGAATCACTTTCGCTTACCTAACTGGTACCATTGCTTAACTGTGATTAGGGGGTAGGTTAGGGATAATTTGGTTGATTATGCATCCACGCCTGTTTCTTTTTTCGGTTGCCCGAGCTGAAGCCCGAATTTGCAACTCCGTTCAGGCCTCTCTCTCCCTTAACCGACCACGTTTGCCCCGATTCCTTTCACTTTTTCATCCTTCTCTTGTTACCTCTAACCATGTTCGTTCAAATTTGATGAGTCTTACATAGTCTATCGATGACATCGATCCGATTTATTGATTCGTTCAATTATACACTTCCGGAAAGGCAAGATGAGTGCAATGTCTTACCACTACTTGGGCATTCTATGGACGTGACTAAAACTTCTTACTGAACTTATTATGTGGAAAACCCCTCTAGTCACTCCTATTTACTACAGTAGCACTCTATTGGCGTGCCAATCAAGAGTTAGACACCGTTCTCGACTTTGTCTCTGAATCACTGCCTTTCAATTTTTTTCAGCAAACTGATTTTATTCCCTTTGTAATTTGGGAGAATCCCCAAATAAAGGGGCAGAGGACGAACTCACAAGACATCATGTTGTTCTGAAGGATTCCACCAACCCATTTTGTAAAAACCTGGTCGATAGGTCGCCTCCATCAGCTACTGACGTCCTCACTTCCTTGAACCCCTTGAAAGATGGATCCTCGTTTGCGACAATTGAGCACATCTTCGTTGAATGGCTGGTGTCAGACTCGTTTGGCGAACGAAAAAACAATGAGTCAAACTCACCGGCCAGGTAAGTCATTGTCATGGCCAGCTAGCCCAGATTGGTTGCTATCTTTAGTTGCTATTGTCGTAATAGCCATCTTTCGGGAAAAAGTATATATTTGCTGTCAACACACGATTATTTTTTTGGCTGATTGGCTCATTTATATCAGAATGGTTTTGCATGGCAAGTGTAGTAATCAACAAAAAGATCGATTCCCATTTTTGGAATGCGCCCAGCATTCAACTTCCATGCAAAATTGTAGGACGTTTCGAATGCATATGCAGCCTATAGATGACTTGAGGTAGGCAGGCGATGTATAAGTCAATAGTTTTATCCTCCCAAACGAGCCTGGTACCAATTAACCGATCCGGGAGGGATGGAGGACTTAGTTGACCTTAACGAATATTTGGGATTCGATCCACGAAGCAGGCGTGTATGATACTCTGCACCTTTCCTCTACGTTAGCTCCACCCTGGGCCATCATGTTCAGTGAAGGATGGATCCCTTAATATCTCTAGGATACCAGTCGGCTGTTATCTACTACTTCCTTTTTCTCCATTTACTGTATAACATATCGTTTGTCCTTTGTCGTCTAACAGATGGAAATCTCAGCCCTTGAATGATATTTAAAATATTTTCTTTAGTCGCATGCGTGCGAACCATAAAAGAAAGTGAATAATAGTTTCCTGCATCAAGGAATACCTTTTTCTTTTGTTTCCTTCCTCATTTTGCAGACATATAATAAATCCGTGGACAGTACATATCATGTCTATAGACTATTTACCAACCCTGTGTAGGAATGAAAATCAAATATTTGTCAATTTAATGCACTTGATGATGGTCACACGAATGCAAATGTATGCTTTTCGGAAGAAGGAAGGGAATTGACCATGCTCTGATTTACAGTATTCGTTTCGCCCAAAGTTCCCACAGTATCTAAGCCTCAAGAATATTCAATAATTTTCCAAAAAGTCAAAGGTACCTTTCAGTTCATATAGTCTATCTGTCCTCAAGTTCGAAACGCAAGTTGCAAGGAGTCAGTATAACACGTCTCCTTACAAGTGGAGTCGTTTGAAGTGTGTTGCCCTTCATGTAGAAGGTATTCAGTCGTCCCTTTCAAGTGGTGGTCGAGTT